CGCGCGCGCTGGAGCCATCGCCGACACGTGAAAACAAGATCGGGGGAGCTGCGAGGTTGCCACACACCAACAAGCAGATTGAACGCGTACATGCGATCGAAACGCACGTGCACACTACTACCATGCGGGAGCACACTCTGGGAACACAAATACACGCACATCATGCACAACGCAGACAACTCGCCCGTGTTATTCGACTGGACCGACGACCCAAGAAAATGTGGGTGATCGGGAGAAAGAATCACGGGGCCACAGTGAGTCTGCCAGCCATCATTGTACCCACGCGTGAAACACCACCCCGCCTTCGAGGTGCCGTTACGGACTGCGCGGGGCCCTCCACGACACGACCCGTCCGTATAGAACACGACAGCACCGGGGGGAGCGTCCTCCGGGCCCTCGAGGAGAGTGGCCGTGCCGAAGGGCAGAGGAGTATCAGGGTAGGCGGCCTGGAGACGAGTGTCGAAATCCTGAGCCAGGGATTTACGAGCCTGTCGGGCCCCAGGAGACGGACCGCGCAAAGCATCGATCCGGAGCGGGAGGACCTCTTCTGCCTCTCGGGTGTGGCCCCACGGGGCACGACGCCGGCCCCGGGGGTGCGCAACCGAGGGGACATGAAACACAACGTCTTTAGCTCGATGATCAGAGAAACTCACAGCATGCGTGCGCAATCGCTGAGCCCACCCCGTATGGCCCCGAAGAACATAAAACCCATCGAGCTCATACCAACGATGATTCACACTGTGCCTCCACGTACCCCGGAATGAGCAACGCAAGAACCCGTCTAACCGAGCGAAGCGTTCGACGCCAGCTTGCCAGCGCAAGAGCTCCCTACCGCCATCCGTCGTGGCCTGCGGGAGCCCCCGGCCGCCCTCACAATCCGTGCCGGAGATGTGCCCATTCCAATCCCCTCCCCAAAGCACGACATCAGCAGTCTCCGTCAGGGAATACGAGAAAGCAGTAGCCTCCTCGAAGAAGAGAGAGCGAGCATCCCTGTCATGCGTGCTACTTGGGGGGGCATAAGAGGAAGCAAAGGCAATCTCGCGATCCTGGTAAGTGATGAGGAGGCAGAGAGAGCGATGAGAACCCACCCGGATACGACACCCCTGGTCCAGCCACATTTTTTCCAAGGAGAAGAGAGGAGAAAACCAACATGATGCCACTGAACAAACAAAAACTCTTCGAGGCAAACCATCTGGACGCTGGGCTGCTGCACTTCCCAATCACACGCTTCACCATGCAACTCGGTCAAACACGAAACTTCCCACCCAAAACGCCGAGCATCCAAGAGCATCTGGCGCAACTTCGGCCCATGGCTCATGAGGCGCCAGTTCAAACCCTGGCAATTAATAGTGCTCATGCATATTCTCCCCACCGTCTGTTTACGAGAAGAACGATGTGGCTACGAATTCGACCTCGCAGGCGCCCGGAGCACCCCGGGACCAGAGTCTCCGAGATGACCGGACCTGGACGGGTAGTCTCAACCCGTGCTGGAGGGGTGGTCGGGTACTGTTCTCGCGCCTGAACAGGCGCGCCCTTATCGTGCCCCCGAGCCAAGACACGATGCAGGCGAAGTGGTTTCGCTATCTGGGGTTCGGCCTTCACACAAGCATGAAAGAGAAGCAAAAGGAGATAGAGACGAGATGAAGGACGGGGGGGAGCGGGGGAGACCGCAACACGCTCTTCCCAGGGGCCTTGCAACGTCCACCCCTCATCACCCATCCCCGTACCCTCACCCCTAACCTCCCCAGAATAGCTTACCAGTGGGGGGATCTGCCGCTGGAAGTCCGCCGTGCCGCAGTGACGTACTCCGCGTTCCTCGTGGCGCCTGCGATGAGGCTCTCCCCTTGCCAGCGTCTTGTAAAATCACGCTACCGAGGAACCCCGCACACTTAAGTTAAATCTTATGTGTTTGCTTATGTATATACTATTGAAACAATCCTGCGTTCTGGGCCCTCGTCGCGAATGTTCCCAAACGTGCCACGCCTGCGAGCCTTTGCGCCAGTGTCGTGGACAGCGGCCGAGCTGAGAGACCAGCCCCTGCGCACCCCCTGTGGTGTCGAGAAAGTGCCACGCTTGCGAGGTTTGCGCCAGTGTCGTGGATAGCGGCCGACCTGAGACACCACCCCCTGCCCACCCCCTGTGGTGTCGAGAAAGTGCCACGCCTGCTAGGTTTTGCGCCAGTGTCGTGGATAGCGGCCGAGCTGAGAGACCACCCCCTGCGCACCCCCTGTGGTGTCGAGAAAGTGCTACGCCTCTTAGGATTTGCGCCAGTGTCGTGGATAGCGGCCGAGCTGAGAAACCACCCCCTGCGCACCCCCTGTGGTGTCGAGAAAGTGCCACGCCTGCTAGGCTTTGCGCCAGTGTCGTGGATAGCGACCGAGCTGAGAGACCACCCCCTGCGCACCTCGCGTGGTGTCGAGAAAGTGCCACGCCTGCTAGGTTTTGCGCCACTGTCGTGGATAGCGACCGAGCTGAGAGACCACCCCCTGCGCACCCCCTGTGGTGTCGAGAAAGTGCCACGCCTGCTAGGCTTTGCGCCAGTGTCGTGGATAGCGACCGAGCTGAGAGACCACCCCCTGCGCACCCCCTGTGGTGTCGAGAAAGTGCCACGCCTGCTAGGCTTTGCGCCAGTGTCGTGGATAGCGGCCGAGCTGAGAGACCACCCCCTGCGCACCCCCTGTGGTGTCGAGAAAGTGCCACGCCTGCTAGGCTTTGCGCCAGTGTCGTGGATAGCGGCCGAGCTGAGAGGCCACCCCCTGCCCACCCCCTTTGGTGTCGAGAAATTGCAACGCCTGCTAGGCTTTGCGCCAGTGTCGTGGGTAGCGGCCGAACTGAGAGACCACCCCCTGCGCACCCCATGTGGTGTCGCGACAGTGCCACGCCTGCTGAGTTTTGCGCCACTGTCGTGGATAGCGACCGAGCTGAGAGACCACCCCCTGCGCACCCCCTGTGGTGTCGAGAAGGTGCCACGCTTGCTGGGCTTTGCACCGGTGTCGTGGCGGCCGAGCTGAGAGACCACCCGCTGCCCACCCCCTTTGGTGTCGAGAAAGTGCCACGCCTGCTAGGCTTTGCGCCAGTGTCGTGGATAGCGGCCGAGCTGAGAGACCACCCCCTGCCCACCCCCTTTGGTGTCGAGAAAGTGCCACGCCTACTAGCCTTTTGCGCCAGTGTCGTGGATAGCGGCCTAGCTGAGAGACCACCGCTTGCCCACCCCCTGTGGTGTCGAGAAGGTGCCACGCATGCTAGGCTTTGCGGCAGTGTCGTGGATAGCGGCCGAGCTGAGAGACCACCCCCTGCCCACCCCCTGTGGTGTCGAGAAAGTGCCACGCTTGCGAGGTTTGCGCCAGTGTCGTGGATAGCGGCCGACCTGAGACACCACCCCCTGCGCACCCCGTGTGGTGTCGAGAAAGTGCCACGCTTGCTAGGCTTTGCGCCAATGTCGTGGATAGCGGCCGAGCTGAGAGACCACCCCCTGCGCACCCGCTGTGGTGTCGAGAAAGTGCCACGCCTGCTAGGCTTTGCGCCAGTGTCGTGGATAGCGGCCGAGCTGAGAGACCACCCCCTGCGCACCCCCTGTGGTGTCGAGAAAGTGCCACGCCTGCTAGGCTTTGCGCCAGTGTCGTGGATAGCGGCCGAGCTGAGAGACCACCCCCTGCGCACCCCCTGTGGTGTCGAGAAAGTGCCACGCCTGCTAGGCTTTGCGCCAGTGTCGTGGATAGCGGCCGAGCTGAGAGACCACCCCCTGCGCACCCCCTGTGGTGTCGAGAAAGTGCCACGCCTGCTAGGCTTTGCGCCAGTGTCGTGGATAGCGGCCGAGCTGAGAGACCACCCCCTGCGCACCCCCTGTGGTGTCGAGAAAGTGCCACGCCTGCTAGGCTTTGCGCCAGTGTCGTGGATAGCGGCCGAGCTGAGAGACCACCCCCTGCGCACCCCCTGTGGTGTCGAGAAAGTGCCACGCCTGCTAGCCTTTTGCGCCAGTGTCGTGGATAGCGGCCGAGCTGAGAGACCACCCCCTGCGCACCCCCTGTGGTGTCGAGAAAGTGCCACGCCTGCTAGGCTTTGCGCCAGTGTCGTGGATAGCGGCCGAGCTGAGAGACCACCCCCTGCGCACCCCCTGTCGAGAAAGTGCCACGCCTGCTAGGCTGTGTCGTGGATAGCGACCGAGCTGAGAGACCACCCCCTGCGCACCCGCTGTGGTGTCGAGAAAGTGCCACGCCTGCTAGGCTTTGCGCCAGTGTCGTGGATAGGGACCGCGGTGAGAGACCACCCCCTGCGCACCCCCTGTGGTGTCGAGAAAGTGCCACGCCTGCTAGGCTTTGCGCCAGTGTGGTGGATAGCGGCCGAGCTGAGAGACCACCCCCTGCGCACCCCCTGTGGAGTCGCGAAAGTGCCACGCCTGCTAGGCTTTGCGCCAGTGTCGTGGATAGCGGCCGAGCTGAGAGACCACCCCCTGCCCACCCCCTTTGGTGTCGAGAGAGTGCCACGCCTGCTAGGTTTTGCGCCAGTGTCGTGGATAGCGGCCGAGCTGAGAGACCAACCCCTGCGCACCCCCTGTGGTGTCGAGAAAGTGCCACGAGGTGTGCTGTGCTGAGCTGAGCTGAGCCGTGCTGGGCTGTGCTGAGTTGTGCTGAGCTGTGCTGTGTGCTGAGCTGAGCTGAGTTGCGTGCTGAGCTGTGCTGTGCTGTGATGTGCTGTGCTGAGCTGTGCTGTACGAAGAGTGAGGTGTGTGTCGCGGGTGCGGCGCGGCAGGGAAGAAAACCAGAACCCCACGAAGCATGTGGGGAAGTATAAATGATTTGCATCGTACGTGGAACAGCTATGTGGGGGTGTCCCGGTAACGCAATTTCAATACATCGTGTTCACATTGTGGGAACATCGTTCTTGTTCAGAATATGTGTGGTTTCTAAGAATTTTTTATGGTAGGATGGTAGGCCGATAGGAATGCCGGGACGGCCGGTCCCTGCTCAACCTTGCCGTCCGTCCCAAGTTGGGTGCTCGAGGCCGGCTTCTCCACAGACGTCGAGATCACGATCGAATGTGCGGACCAGGGCCTGTCGGAGACCAGGAGCCCGCTCTGCGGAAGGGGAGGTAGGGAGGAAAGAGCCATGGCGTGGAGGTATTGGGTCTGTGGGGTGTCTGCTTGGTCTCGTCGCGGCTTCCGGAATTGTGCCCCTCATGCTTGCGGTGGGGCCATGACTCAGAACCTCGGTTTGGCTGAGCATTTTGGGCCAGAGTCCCAGGCCGATGTACTTTACACGTTCATGTCTAGTCGGTTCAATGGACTCCAAACATGGATCGGCGGGGTCCCCGAGATGTTGGCATGTATACGGTAAAATCAAAATTTTGCGCAGCCCCCCACCCGCCCAGCGTAGAGCCTTACGCGGCTGGTTAAGTTTTCGAATAGTGTGTGTATATATGTATGTATGTATGTATGTATGTATGAATGAATGAATGAATGAATGAATGAATGAATGAACGAACGAACGAATGAATGAATGAATGAATGAATGTGTATATATATATGTATGTATGTACAGGCCGAGTAATGCCGGCCATTGCGACTTGCATTGGGGTATGTGCTGCTGAGTGCTATTGGACTCGCAGCAGGAGAGTTATCAGGCACACTGCGGGACATTACATCACTGGCGGTATAGGGAATTGCAGTAAAAGCTGGGCAACACTGTGTAATCGGACTTGCACATGATCTGTAGCAACAGGTGGTAGCTGTTGTAGGGGGCGTAAGAGGAGTCGCTGTATGGATTGCAGGCTGAGCTGTAGTGGGGGTGTAGGAGGAGCAGATATGAGGGAACTGCGCTGGCTGTAGTAGGAGCTGTGCTGTCAAAGGATCTGTAGTGAGGGACGCAATCGTGCGAGCCGTAGTGGGGGCGAATGAGAGGCAGCGGGCATTGTAGTAGTGGCTGTGCCAAGGAAGTGGAGTAGGACCTTCAGTAACACATGCAGTATACAGCGAATGTGGAATAGTTTATGTGGAGCAGTCGTGAGAGCTGTACGAGTGGACGCATAACATAAATAGCTCAGAACTGGCTAGTGGGAAAGGCATTGGAGGCTGTGCGTAAGTCTGTACGATTGGTTGTAGTTGAGATGTGATTAAGAGCTGTCCTAGGCACCGTGAAGAAACTTGTAACAGCGATTGCATTGGGAATTGCAATGCGAGCTGCACTCGGACATGCCATCGGATGTGTAACCTGGTCTGGAGCGGCAGCTATGACAATGTGCGGCAAGTGTTGCATTGAGTTGATGTAGTTGGAATTGCTGCAGGAGTTGACCAGTCCGCTCGTTGCAGTAAGCCCAGCTAAGGGTCGGACAAGGCTCGGCGGTTCCTCAATGTGGCATGCGTCCCGTTGCGATTTTGGTGGCGAGCCCCTACGGTCTTTCCTTTTCCCGGCCGTGCTCGATTTGGAGTTTCGTTTTTGATTAAGCGTGCTTTGCTCCAGCAGCCGCATTGTACAAGCTGCCCTTGTAGGACTTGCAGTCGGAGCTGTCGTGGGGGGGTGTATAAGGAACAGGTGTGAGAGAACTGGATTGTTGGCAGCAGTGTGAACTTTATTACGACTTACCCGAGTAACTGGAGTACTGGGGACATTCGCACGCGTTGTAGTCGGGGGTTGATGAGTTGTAATGGGGGGTGTCTTATTGGTTGCGCCAAAGAAGTACAGTAGGACGTTGCAGACATACATGCGGTATACGTGGTATCAGGGGCTATAGTGCGAGTTGTACTACTGGGCGCATTTGGAATGACCGTAGAAATTGTGTAAGACGAGTTCAAGGCTGTCTTGGGACCAATACTATGCGTTGTAGACGGGTTGCGGGTATGTAAGGCCTTTGAAACAGAGACTGCGGAACGCAGCACTACCTGCGGAACGCAGCATTACTAGCTGGATCAGGAACGGCCACGGTTGATTCGTTCTGACAAATGATTCATTCGAGAACAGGAGTCGGGGCATTGCGTTCGTTTTCTGTTTGCTTGTGGGGCTAGGGTTTCCATGGTTTTCCTTGTGTGTTCGTTGATCTGAATGCGTTTGTTGGTTTTCGGCGGCCCCCCCGCTGGGAGACGCACCAGCTGGGCGCGGGGGGGCAGACACCGACAACCACATACGCATCAACCACCACATTAGGAACAACATGAACAGCAGAGCCCCACCCCCCTGGCGAAAACATCAACGAACTCAAGGCACCGACTGGTTTCTGACACAACAACTACTCAACACCTACGTCTGTTGTTCAGAATGTTTCTCATCCCAACACTAACCGGGGCCTTGTTTTCTGTGTTTGTTGTTGCCTGGGGTGCTTGTTGTTCCTGGTGTTCCGTTTGTTGTGATTGATCTTATTGTTGGTGTTCGGCGTCTTTTCTCCATGGCGCTGCCTCCACCTCTCCCCCAGGGAGACGCCCCGGCTGAGCGCGGGGGGGGGGCAGAAACCAACAAACACATGACAGTCAATCAATTTAAGGAACAAGATGAACATCATAGTACCCACTAGTACCCTGGCAAACGAATCAACGACATCAATGCCCTGAGTGGTTTGTGACAGAGCAGCCACATAACACTGAAGGTGCTTCAATTTTTCCCTTCCGGCAACCAGTTGGGGCCTTGATGTCGTTGTTTTTTTCTGTAGGGGTTATGATGCTCTTGGTGTTCCTGTTGATTTGGTTGATTTTAATGCTTTTGTTGGTGTTTGGCGTCCTCTCCACCCCCGGCGCCGCCTCCACCTCCCCTCCAGAGAGACGTCCCAGCTAGGCGCGGGGGTCAAGGAGCCAACGAAACCATGAAACTCAACCAACACACAAGGAGCCACAGACAAATCAGAGCACCCAGGCAAACAAATCAAAGAAACCAAGGCGCCGACGGGTTCTTGACAGTAGAGCCCACCATAGCAGATTTGTTTTTCAATAATTCCCATGTGGGAACAATCGGAGCCTTGGTTTCGTTATTTTTGTTTGCCCGGGGGTCTGACTTCAATGGCTTTCTTGTTGTGTCGATCGATGTTTGTTGTGTTGGTGGGTTTCGGCGTCCTCTCCCCCCGAGCGCCGTGGCAGACACCGACGAAAGCAGTACAGTCAAACAACACAAGGAACAGCTTGATCATCAGAGCCACCAGGCAACCACATCAACGAAATCAAAGGCACGACTGTTTTCGACAGAACCACTACACGTGGTTCAACGTTCCCCTTCCGAAAACCAGTCGGGCCTGGATTTCGCTGATCTTTTTGGCATGGTGACTTGGATTTAATGTTAATCCGTATGTTCTCGCAGGTGTTCTTGGCTTTTGATGATTTTCGGTGTCGTCTCCCTCCTAGCGCCGCCTCCACCCCACCCCCTGAGAGAGAGAGAGAGAGAGAGAGAGCGCACCACTTCGGACAGTGTCACTGTCCAGACCCTGCGGCTACACGTGCCGAACGGACCCGCCTCACAAAGCGGGAGGCGTTGCATGTTGTACAGGGGCGGTGGGATGACTTCCCCCTGGCGCGGGCGAAAGGGTCCCCGGCTGGAAAAAGGGACGGCCCGGGAGAGGCAGACAACGGAACAGATGTTTTCTCGCGGTTCGCGTGGGAGGAGACTAGTACGGGTGCGCCGCCCTTTGGGAGTCGAAGAGGGCGTGGGGATCACCTTGTTGGGAAATCTTTCTGGTCGCATCAAGGCTGAATTCTCGTTGTATAAACCCCAAGTCTTCTTGTGCACGACGGCACCTCTCGATCAGCGGTATTGACTGTTAGTGTACCTGATGGAGGGAAGTCACCAGCTGGTTGACGCGCTGTGTAGGTGCTTGAATGCTGGCGGCGGTCCTCCTGTCGCCACTCAGTGGCCGCAGTGAGGTGCTGCGTGGGGGCGTTCTTCAGTCGGTGCGATGCTCTGAGGTCATTCGGTTGCAAGCACCTTGGTGGGTGGTGTGAGGGCCCTTGATCCCCGCTCTCTGGTGGGACGGGGGAGGTGCCTGGTGGAACGAAGCGCTGCGTTGGTGTGTGTGTGTGTATGTGCCAGCCCGGCGGGTTTGGGCGGCGGTGCTGGCCCATGGGGCGCAGTCTGCGACCTCTCACCCATTCTGCACGGGTCCCCTCCCAAGTGGGGCGGGGCGGTGGCTTTTTCGTCGGTGTGTCTTTCGGCCGCGTGTACGTTTTCAGAATGGCATCCCTTGAGTGGGTGAACGCAGTCGTCTTCGCCGTTGACGGAGGCCCCAAGACCAAATGGGATCAAGGTCGTCAGCGTCGAAATCGCCCGTGTGTTGGAGCCAGGGGTCGTCGAGGTCGCCGAAGACATCGGGACCTGGCGGTTCCGCCGCGGGAGGTGGTCCTCTTTATGCGCCAGTGCCTTGTCCGCCCAGAGTGGTGGTGAGCGGGTGCATTTCCATTTTGGAGAGCTCCGTCCTTGAATATCTTGCACGTCTGTGGGGTAGAGGGATCCGCGCGGTGCCGCTGACCATGTCCTTTCTCCCCCTTCCTCCTTTCTTGCCTCCCCCGTCATCCCCCTCGTGGATCACGCCTGGCTGGGCTGGACGGAGGTGTGATGGCTGGTTTGGGGTTGGGCTGGGCCAGGCGCGGAGCCCCATCCAGGGATGAATGGACACCCGCAGGATTGTGCGCTCGGGGTCTCGTCCTCTCCGTCAGCCCCGCTGCCTCTCACGTGCGTCGCGTGTTGGCGTGGGGTGAGGTCGAGATCGGGCGGGGAGTCCTGCCGTGGGGACGCGCACGCCCCCTCCCCAGGAAAGCCCCCTCTCTGCGTTTGCCCTCCGGGTTGTCGCGCGCCTATCTCCACTAAGGGGCCAGGGCGTGCGAGGTGGAGTTGGGCATATTGGTGCTACGGACCTCTTGCCCTCCCCTTGCCGCCCCGCCCCCTGCCGAATTGGTACGTATCTCTCTGGGTCGACGCTGCCGGTCTGCTGGCGGACGCCCATTCGCCCCCGCAGCTCCCTGGTAAAGATTCATCCTCCCTCCCCCTCCCTCCCCCGCTCTCCCCCCTCCCTTCCCTCCCCCCTCCCCCAGGCGTCTCCCTCCTCCTCCCTCCCTCCGCCCCTCCTTCCAGGTCATTGTGGGAAAGACCTCTGGGAGGTCTCCATCCCCGTCCCTCTTCATTCTTCCTCCTTCTCCCTCCCTTCCCCTCCCTCCTCCTTTTCCCTCCCTCCCCTTTCACTCGTTCTCATTATCTCTCTCTCTCTCTCCCTATGGATTGTTCTCTTGTGTGTTATCTGTCTCTCTCTCTCTCTGTGTGTCTCGGTCGCACTCTCTCTCTCTCTCTCTTTCTCTCTTTCTTCCTCCCTCTCTTTCTCGGTTTGGCACTCGCTATACATACATACACACATATACACATACATATGTACACATGCTTATGCTTATCTATATGTGTATGTATGCGTGTACATATGTTGGGTTCCCTATTTCTTTTTCTCTATCTCTGTCTCCCTCTGTTTCTCGCTCTCTCTCTCTCTCTCTTTCCATGTCTTGCTTACCCCCCGCCGAAGGAAGATTAAGACCCTGACGGGCGTCGGTCGGTTCCAGCTGTCGGCGAAACTCGACCACGCCTTCCCTAAGGGTGCCACCGTGACCAAGAAGGCGGCCGAGCAGCCTGGGGTCTCCGCCGCCGACCGTCGTCCTGCTGCTCCCTCTCGCTCCAGTCTTCTCCCTCCTCCCGGGGACGCTACAACATCGCAGCGCTCTTGCTGGGGCAGATGCCCCAGCAGAGAGCGAGATTGGCCAAGGGAAGGGTCAGTGCGAAGCGCACTCTCTGACCCCTCTCGGGTTCTCGGGCCCACGCCAGCCGAAGTTTGGTGTCGGAACCTCCTCTTTTCTCTCATCGCGCCCGCGCGCTCCTCCAGGGAAAACAAGTTTCCTCCCTCCTCCATCCTCCTGATCATCATGCCTCGTCTCCTTCTTTCTCTCTCTCTCTCTACAGTCAGCGCGCCCAGTAAGGACGCGCGCCTTCATCTGGGGTACTCTTGCGTCCTTGCAATGCTTTTACGTCGGGCCCCGGCACCGATTCGGCACGGACGGGGTGGTCGCCCGCCGCCCCAAAAAACAGTGTTGGCCTTCACGGATGTTGCGTCCTTCCCACCAATCCTTAATACACAGTTTGACTGTACCCTCCCTTGCCCTCGCCGCTCCTCTTCTATCCTTTCCCGTCCGCGCTCCTAGCTCGTCCGACTGAGCTCGCCGTTCCCATTGGCGCTCCCTGTTGGGCACGCCCAGATGGGGCCGCTGCTTCGGGCCTGGATCCGAAGTGTTCGGACATCGGGCATCGTCCTGATCGTTCTGCTAGACTCCGAGCTGCTTGGAGTCCCTGCGCAGTTCCTCCGCCGCCGCCGCTGCTCTCTTCTCCCTCCCTCCTTCCTCTTTTCATTCATCTATGCCACATCAAGCCCATCCCCATAGAGGTATTGAGGCTCGCCGATACCTACCGGCCTCCAGGAGTTGGCCGACATGACGACGAGTCAGTAGGCTGCATGCTTTCTTACACGTCGGGCGCCGGTTTCTGCGCGACGGTGTTTCCAAGCGCGACGTTCAAGTATTGAGAGAAACAAGAAGCGGCATAAGCAGAATTGCCAGTCCCGCCGACCCTGCAGGGGTGTCAGGAGGCCCCAGGAAGGCCGCGAGAGAGGAGCTGAGCGCACGAAGGCAGGCCGACGATGATCCCAGAACGGCTTAAAGAGCTCCTCGAGACTGGGAGAAGTGACAGAACACCGTGCCACCCCCATCTAATGTTCAGTTGGGCATGGCCATCTAAAGGAGGAACATTCAAGAATAGTGGAAAATAGTCCGGGGATGATAGTTCGTGATCTTTTGCCTATGCTTGATCATCTATCGATTATTTATATTTTTACTTCCAGAATCCGCCTATAAGAGGAGATGCTGCCTGCCCGACCTAAATCTGATGAATTTCGGCCCATCCCGCCACCGTGCCTGGGTCGTGGACCAGAGGGCCCTTGGAATGTATCGAAGGGTCTCTTGGGGTGCCTCTCGGAGGGCTCTTTGAGGGGGCCCTGCATTTGGATTGTTTTGCGCTCGCAGCTCGGCGTCCGCCTGTGGCCCTGTGTGCCCGCCCCTCTCTTAGAGATGTTGCGGCAGGTGCACATGGTGCATGGTGCTGGGGCACCTGGACGCAGAGACCCTTTTGGTCGATCGAGCTGTTTCACTTGCGCTGATAACTCAGGCTTTTGGTTTGTGTCAGGGAGCCAGCATCCCCCTCCGCTGCTGGCCCGTTACCTTGGTCAGTCCAAGGTTTTGGAGGCGTTGGCGTTGATGTCACAAAAAAGCTCTTTGAGGGGGGAGCCTCCTGGGGACCTCCTGGCGGTCTCGTGGCCGTCTTGGGGCGATCTTGGGAACCTCTTGCTTGGAGCGTTGGAAAACCGAAAAGGCGAAACACCAGAATCTTCAATCATAACCCTGGTCGTGGGAATTCTCATGGGGCTCTCTTGGGCCGTCGTGGGGCCATCCTGTGCGTCTTGGGCCTCAGTTGCCAAAAGAGTGCCAATCGAGGGGCGGGGCGGACTTTTTTTCGGAGGGGAAAGGATCATAGGGAAGAGGCGTCCCGAGATTTGATTACGGCCTGGCTCGATTCGCCTCGGGCTGCGAGCTTGAACAGCCACATGGTTTTTGTGTTTGCTTTTTCCCTCTGGGCCATGACGCGCGTTATTTCCACTTCCCCTCCCCCTCCCTCACCCGCACAACGTAACGCTTCCCCCCTCAATGCGTCCCCGGCACTGTCGCAGTGCGTCCAGCACCACAGTTGGGAGGGGGGGCGTTACGTTATGCCCTCCCCCCCTGGGCACCACAGTCTGTGGGGGGGGGGACGTCACAGTCTGGTGGGGGGGGCGCTACGTTAATTAAAGAATGCGCTCCAGGTGGCTGCCCGGACTGGAGGAGCATCTTCGTCTTAAAGAGTGTCTCCTACGACCACCCCGGGACGGCTGGCACAGAACTCCCCCTCACACACGCCAGCAGTGCGTGTCGGCTGATCCCTTCGGTCGGCGCTGGACCCCTTGGTGGCGCCTGCAGCGCTGCCCTGGACGCGCGAAGCGTGCCATGGGGGGGGGTCAGCGCCAAACAAAGACTTCCGAGTGGACCTCCACGAGATTATGTTTAGATGGTCGTTCGTGTTTATGGGAGAATGCCGATGCCCAGTAGGGTTGTTCAGTCATTGGGAGTCCCGTGAGCAGCTGACAATTTAACCACACCACATGCCACAGGCTTCCTGCGTGCGCGCATGGAGGAGCGAGCGTGGCTCGATCCAACAATGTTCTGCTTAATTCATCCTCTGTATCCTCGTCCTCAGGTTGCTACTCTTGGGAGGCTGAACTGGTCATCGGCCTTATTATTTCCTTTGCACTAATACGACCAGAGCAGCCTACTCGGAGCATGTTTGAACATCTGGCTGAAAAGACCCTGCCCGTGGCCACAAGCACCTCCCAGGAGTTGCCGTCTGGCTCCTGTCCCCTTCTATCATCTTTCTGCTGCGCTGCTCCTCCCCAACCTCCGCTGCCTGACTCGAACGGCCCAGGGCAAGGCCATCATGTCGACCGACGGGCAGGACAAGTGGAAGAAGAAGTGGCTGCAGGCTGAGGGACGGATGAGGACGGGGTGGAGGAGGGGATGAGGAGGAGGAGGAGGGCATGAGGAGGGGGAGGTGGAGAAGGGAGTTCGGTGGGGGGATGAAGAGAAGGGGGGGGGCAGAGGGCCGAGGAGGTCATCAAATATTGGTTCGATACCAGATTCGGAGCTAATTCGCGTAGCGCGTTGATCATGGGCGTCGCTTGGCAGCACCATTCGATGCCAGCTTGAGGCAGCCCTCGCAGTCGGCGGAGCGTGCCAATATGAGCAATGTGCGGACAACTCGCTTGGGAACGGGGCGAAGGCAACATGGCGTCGGTCTCCCAAGCAGTGCAGTGGCTCTACAGGTCCGTGCAGAATTCTTGGCTTGGCGCTGGGTACCCCCAGGCTGCGCATCGGGCGCCGCCCCTGGGGCGCTTCGCGCGCCAGTGGAGGGGGGCCCAGCGCCGACCCAAGAAATCCTCGCGACCATCTGACAAGTTATGTGCCTGTCCAGCCTTCCAGTGTTGTTGGGGCGTCCTTGTGAATGCGCATCGCCGCGCGGCTCCTTGTCCTGCTCCTCCTCCCATGACCACAGACGCTCTGGGCGGAGACAACAGAGCGGCGCCAGACGACGGTAGCGGACAAGGCGACTCACTGGGCATAGTTCTGCGTCGACCGAGCTTCGGCCGACACGCCCAGCCAGGTTGGCAAAGCAATTCAAGCGTAGGTGCGTGCCACCGGCTGCGGACGATCGGGGGGGCAGGGGGAGGAGGGAGGGATGAAGGGAGGAAGGCCTGGCACGGGTTTCTTGTCGCTGGTCTTCTTCTGATGCCCCCGCGGCCCGGGAACGGGCTTCCAGAGGCCCAGACATGTGGGACGTATTGCCGTCTCAATTCTCTTTCAGCTGCAGCCTGGCGCAACAGCTCGCTGGAGAGGCCCGGAAGTCGCTGGACGGCCGCGGGGAGAAGATCTACCTCCTCACGTGCGCCGTTTGCCCCGCTGCACTCGTTCTCGGAGGAGGGGGAGGAGGAGGGAGAGCTAGTGGACAACACTGGAGTGCCACGCGCGAAGGAGTACGCAGGGAAGTGATCAAAGGGATCCGGGGAGTGTCGATTTCGATCGGCCTGTAATCACAAGCGTCTGATGCTCCACTCCGATGTCAGCTGCTGACTCGGTTCGAACTCCACACCCTCTGTAGTGCTCTCGGTGATGGCAGTCAGTTAACGTCATCTTGTATTTTAGCTCGTAGATCGGGAGTCACGGCGGTCCCCCAGGGTGAAGTTTGCACGCAGATTCTGCAACCGCTGGGTGTTAGGGATATTGCCTCGACGAGGGTCAGTGTCAATCGTTGCAATAGTTTTTGAGGCCATGTTGGCGTCCCATGGGGGTCGAACGGCCTCAAAGCGCAGATCACTTTTATTTCCACCTGTCCCAGTAGAGTGTGGATCAGGAAATGCGTGAGGGGTGCGCAGAAAAACAGTGCCGCAGCCATTCAGGTGTCGCTCACTAGTAGTTTTGCGCGTCCCAGATGATCACCAGACAGGAAATGCGTGAGAAATGCGCCGAGGCTTTCGCAGCCCTGAGGGCGCGTCTCATTTGTATTTTTTTAGATATCCCAGGAGCTGTCACGCGCGTGGTCCTAGCGCTCGGAGCACGCTTCACTCGTATTTTCACGTGTCTCCAGAAGGGTTTGACGGAACATGCCATCCTGAGGCCAGCGGGATGCGTGACATTTTTCTAGCATGTCTCACGCATGCCATCTCATTATCTTCTCAACACCATCATTTTCTTATCGACTTTCGAAAGCTACAACGCGGCGTGGGCCCGCAGGGGGCCCGCCGAATTCAATCGTTTCGCTCATTCTGCCGGCCAAAAAAATCCTTCGGCCCATCTTTGCCACCCTGCTTGTGTGGTGGGTATGAAGCCTCTGGGATGTTGGTCGGGATCTTGTCGAGGCATGCCGGCATCGTCCTGGAGGCAGTTATGATGCCTCTGGTGGCTCTCTTGGGGTCGCTTTTGGGCCTCTTGGGGGCCTCTGGGGCCTCGTGAGAGCCTTTTGGGGCCTCCTTGGGGCCTCTTGGGGCCTGCTGGACGCGCCTTGGGGCGGAAAACTCGGACTTTCGGTTCGTCTTGGGGCTGTCTTGCGGCCCTCTTGTGCCATCTTGGGCACCTCTTGACGTCTTGGGGCCCTCTTGGGGGGCCTCTGGGGCCGTGTTGAGGCGGTCGTGAGTACCTCTTGGAACGTCTTGGAGCGTGGGAAGCTAAGCTCGAAAAGCAGAACCCTCCAAGCCAGTCAACTACCCAAGGAAATGGTAGCCAGCGGGGACCCCAAACAGTGGCTTTCGAACCGGGGATGTGTACAAGCAGTATATGCTGTACCATTTATGTGCTATATGTACTGTGCCATGTATGTCTCGTCTACGTGGTGCAATCAAGTAGTACAATTCACCCTGCCGTTCGTGAAATTGTCAACTCCATTGCTCGCGCAAGCACCCCATCCACTTGCAACATCGCTTGCAAACCCCATGCGGCGGCGATTCTGATGATTTCTTGGCGCTGGCTGGCGCATCGCCGCGGCCGTGCTTGAGCGCATGCTCGCGGGCGAAGCGGCCAGCTAGTTTGGCGCGACCGACGCTGACGCTGTGGCGCTGACCGCTGGGCACTTCCCAGCCGGCACTTCAGTGCGAGTCGGCGATGTTGGTGGGCGCGGTATCATGGCAATGTCGACAACTGTAGACACGATGATAGTAGTAGCGATGTCGGTGACGATGATGGTAACGACGACGGCAAAGCCAGTGGCGGCGCCGATGTTGAATACGCCGGCGACGATGACGGCGTCTTCGCGTCGGTGGTGAAGGGTCTGGAAAAGTTCGGCATGCGCGCGTGGCCGACGCGCGAGAGTGGCCCGCATGATTTTATATGACACGGATCGCGCCCCCGCCCCAGCGCGTGGACGTTCGAATGTTTTCGACATGCAGCGCGAGAGGCCCGCTTGACAGAATGTGCTGAACATGTTGAGCAAAACGAACGGCTTCCTTCAGAATTTGTAGGAGCGCGAGCGCAGGCAGCTAATATATGGTGGAGACGGCAAACAAGCAGTTGGGAAGTTGAGGCGAGCAGTGCGCCGCATTTTCTTTCGCAAGGGTGAAGGTCGCGGTAAGGGTGGTAGACGGGCCCGCTTGTTGCGTGGGAGAGGCGTTCATAGCCAGTCTAACCGATCACGATTTGGAGGACTTTTTCCGTTGGTAAAGGCAGAGGTCAAGGTCGCAGAAATACCATTGGGAAAGGCAAGCTACCCAAGCTAAATCAGATGGGCACGAACGGCCAACGCATGACATGCACCTCCTCCAGAAGCGAAGAACACGTTCAAGCGCATTGTCCCAAAAAGACAACGTCAAGAGAGGTGGGCTCGTTCTTCGCTCAGAGCAGCAATGGGGCGACTTATTTGAATCTGTTGATTTGCCCGAACTCGAGCATCCATCTCAGGCGCATTCTCGAGCCGCCTGGTTCCCGACTGCAAGATGCGCCGAGGCTGCCATGGCTGTCGAACGACGCGCCGAGTACCTGCAGGACGGCGTCGAGAATATATTCGAAACGCTGTCCGACGACTGGGCGGGGCTGCCATGGCGCGGGCGCGCACGCAACGAGAACGAGAATGACTGCGCGTCTGACGCGCAGACCATCCCCGCAACCGAAACACGAGTACAACATTTTTAGTTCGGACACGAGCAGGGCGGCCCCTCCAAGCTTCCAACGCCGACGGCCATTGGCCTCGCTACCCGGGAGATGGCGGCGGCGGACGGGGGCCAATCGGACGCCGCGGCGTTCATGATGGGGGGCCGTCGAGCCCCCATTGGTCCAGGTCCGATTGAAGCAGGCCGCGACAAGGGCAGCAATCGCCGAGGCCGCCGTTCAGGAGTAGGCCCGTCGGTTCGCGCCCGGGCGCGGGCGGTGTCCGCCGAGGCCGCAGTCGCTCGCGAGCCGCGGGCCCCTCGTCGGTCAAGGGCGACGGCTCGGGGAAGGGATGCGCGTCTTTTTTTTCGCGGCGAACGGGGTGCTCGCATGGACATGCCAGACGACGGCATGCTAGGGTATTCGAGCGAGGTCTGGAGCGAACGAGGCATCTGCCGCCGGCGTTTTAAAGGCGCTTGTTTCGGGGCGACCCAGGCCACGTCATCGAGAGGCCTCATCGCCGCGCCGCGGAGAAAGAAGGGGCTCGCCGAAGGCAGCGTGAACTGACGGCCGCAAACTGCGCCGCGCGCGCGGATTCCCTCAGTTTCAGCGCGCCGCCCAGCGTGCCCCATTGATCGGCCATCGCGTTGCCCGCGTCATATGGCTACGTCCGGGCATGTTTCATCTTGGCGACGGCATCGGGAATTAATGCGAGCACGAGGCCGAATGTCGAGCTTTGGACGGCCAGCAGATCAAGGAGACCAAGCAGGTCTGGGGGCCGCTTGCCGGCGACCTTCGCTCCCAGGTCTTTCAGCGTCATGGTCTCGACACCCCTGCGAAGCCTGCGCGTCTGATCCGAAGGGCCGCGACAAATTATTTTTGCATGCGCGCGCGACGACGCGCGCGCACTTCGCCCCGCGTTGTTCCCACGGGATATTTGCGACAGCGCGCGCGCGAGGTTACTCGAGCGTCCTCGGCACGCGCGCGCGAGAGACGTTCGACAGCGCGTTGCGAGCATGCTGAAAACAATTCTTCTTCAAGAAGAGCGCGCGCTTTTGTTTGAGGCTCTCGTTGCGAAGCCGTGTGTTTCATATGTTTCTGGGGCGCTGGACTCTGAAAGCCTTGCGGGGCCTTGATTTGTCGAGGGATTTCGGCATGCGCGCGCGATGACGCGCGCGCGTGCAGCTCGTCTTTTTTTCCTGTCGGGGATGCGACGTCGCCCCGCGCGGGGCGGATCTCGGGCGCCCCCCCCCCCCCCCCGGGCGCGACGGCCGACGGACGTTACTTCCTCATTCGGGATTACAATGGTGATCGCGTGAGGCGGGGGCAGCGGGCAAAAAGAGAAGAGAATGGAAGCTCTGGATAGTTGCCGCGGCCAACTGCGGTTCCAGGCGACCGCGGCCGCGGCTGCGGCTGGACATTGAAAACCGCAGCGACAAATCGCGCCCCCCCCCACCGGCCACGGCCGCAGCCAGAACCGCGGGCGCAGCCGCGGCCGCGGCCGCGACAGGAAGCAGGCAGCCGCGAACAAATCGCAATAATCTCCGCCTCTCAACCACGCTGCAGCCGCAGCCGCAGCCAGAGTCGCGGCCGCGGCCGCGACCGCAGCAGCCGTGACAGGAACAAAATCATCGCGGACAAATAGCGGATTTGTTGTTTTCTCATCGATCGCAGCCGCGCTCATTTCGGTCGGCGCCGGCTCCACACAACGCACGCTGTCTTGTTCGTGCCCCCCTTTTCCGCCCCTTCCGCGCTGTAGGCGGCGCGCGGGGCCCATGTCTCCCGTGCCAGTTCGCGACCGGTCAGGAGGTTGGCTCGGGCGGCTGCGATCCTTAGGCAAGCTGCCCAAAGAGGGCCCCTCGTCAAGCCGCGGCACTAAACGGCAGCCTGAATCCTAGAATCCACAAGTAGCCGCTGCACCTCTGGCCCGGCTTGCTTCCCGCCCTGGCCCTGGCTTCTTTCTGCGGCCCCCCGCGTCGCAGTGGTCTTCCTTAACGTTCAACCCTGTGACCTATGACCACGGTAGTATGTCCCGGGGTCGACGCGGCGCCCCAGCGGTAGCGTCGAGTGCCCGCGCCACCAGCTTAGAGGACTGGCAGCGCCGCTGCTTCTTGGGCCGGGTCCCCTGCCAGTGATTGGGATGGTCGCCCGCCAGTGCTCAAGGTGGTCGCCCGCGCAGTGGGGCTTCCCCTTTGTCCCGCGTGGGATATCTCCCCAGGGTGCGTAAGCATGAACAGATTCACGACGTGCTCAGGTCAGAAATACGCAGTTGCGCGACTTGCTCAGGTCCGAGCAGCTTCGCGACCCTCTCAGGTCGAAGCAGTTTCGCGACTTGCTCAGGCCCGAGCAGCTTTACGACCCGCTCAGGTCGGAGCAGTTTTCCGACCTGCTCAGGGCGAAGCAGTTTTACAACTTGCTCAGGTCCGATCAGTTTTACGACCTGTTCAGGTCGGGGCAGTTTCATGGCGTGCTCAGGTCCGAGCAGCTTCGCGACCTGCTCAGGTCGGAGCAGTTTTGCGACCTGCTCAGATCGGAGCAGTTTTATGATCTGCTCCTCAGGTCCGAGCAGCTTCGCGACCTGCTCAGGTCGATGCAGTTTCACGACCTGTTCAGGCCGGAGCAATTTTACGATTTGCTCAAGTCGGGGCAATTTTGCGACCTGCTCGGGTCGGAGCATTGCTCGGCTTGCTCAGACCGGAGCAGTTCTACGACCTGCTCAGGTCGGGGCAGTTGCACGACCTGTTCTTTGTTTTTCCGATTCGAAGCAGTTGTACGATACGGCGAGCGGCGAGGATGGCGTGGGAGATTGGGAACGGAGGCGACGGAACAGGATGAGGATGAGTAGCAGGAGGGTCATGATGAGGTGGAGGGGGTAGGGGGGACGGGCAGGAGTGGCAGGATGCGGAGGATAAGGAGGAGCAGGAGTAAGCGGGAAGTGGAAGAGGGGGAGGGGGAAAAGGAGGCACATGACGAGGATGAGGAGATTTACGGCGGTTGTTGCAGATGTCTGGCGGTTGTTGGAAAGTCTCTTTGGGACCAGGTGTTGGCCCTCTTTGGGTTGACGCCTCGCCTGTTTGGCGCACTCTCTGAAACGCTTTGTGCTGGAACTGTCTGCGTAGCATTTATTGGTGGAGCCTTATGCATCACCGATCCCTGCTGGGAACCATCGTTTTGGGGGTCTCTGGGGCCTTCGCGCGGTCCTCTGCGGGACCCTGTGAGGTCATGTTTGCGAAGGACACCGAAAACTGGAGAAGCTGTGAAAACGTGGAAAAAACGTTTCGTATTGCAGCGCTTGTGTTCAGGCGTAAGAGCTGTGTAAGCATTGGGGCTGGTCTCGGGCTTCTCGGGGGGAGCCTTGGATGATGCTTGGACGCTTCTAGAAGGCGTCTGGGATGCACTTTTGAAATCCATGGGGGCCTTTAGGGGGCTTCAGGGGGCCTCTTCGGGGCCACTTGGAAGCGTTTTGGGGCCTCTTGGGGGCCTCTGGGGGCCTCCGGCGGGGTTCCGGGGCCGTTTTTTGTATGTTTTCCGCCGTCCTGGCGCCTTCTCAGTCGCCTTTTGGGCCCGTTCTGGGGCCTTCTTGGGCCTTTTCCGGGGGCCTGCTGGGCTTTTGGCGGTTTCTTGGGCTGTTTGAGGGTTTTCCTGGGGCGTTTGCGACGCTTTGAAGGCCCAATATTCGAATGCGTTAAAATTGTATGTTTCCTTAGCCTTTTTGCAGGGTTTCTGAGGGTATTTTGGTGGTTTCTGGAAACGTCTTGGGGACATCTTGGGCGTCTTGTAGCGATCGTTCGGCGAGTCGGGGCCCTCTTGGCCCATGTTGGGGCCCTCCTGGGCGAGGGGGCCGTCCCGGACTGAGCTGGAACTCCGATTCCGCCCGGGGAATTAAATCGACCCCCCCCTTTCCCCCTACCCCGGCAGAGCCACCCCGGCACCGACCCCCCAGTAAAGCTGGAGTTCAGGAATTCAGGCTCAGGCTGTTCTGAGGGTCCGTGAAACTCACACGCCGGATCGGCGGATTTGTCCGCGGGCTAAAGTCAAGCGTTAGCTCACACTGCACACGTGGCAATGTGTTGGGACCGAGAAAAAGGCCAGAAGAACGATAGCGAAGGTCAACATATACCGACCACGGCGGAGGGACCGACCGAGGAGGAAACGAGGCCCGAAATCAACGAGGGGAAGAGGTGATTCCGAGCGGGTGTTGGCCTACCTGTGAAGAAGGCGGTGGGCCATGCATTTGGACCAGCTTTTGCTCTCTCGAGCAACTCTTGAGGGCGTCTTGGAAGCGGCGGGGGCTAGGCCGCTTTCCCTGAGGATGGCCATTACCGTCCAAGATCCCAGAGACCAGGGTCGAGAGCTATCTGTCCGAGTCTGGGGGTTATACATCCGCCGCCTAGTGAACCGATCTTCCTGGACTTTTGGGTGCGGAGGATCTGGGTATACCGGTATACTCGAGCCCCCCTTGGGGCCCACATGTATCCATATCCGCCGTCCCCTGGAAACCCAGAATATTGGTTCCCCAGGCGGTGGATATGGACAAGTTCCTTCGCACATGCAGAATGTGATCGTGATGGGCTGGGGTGGAGGAAGGGAGCCATGGAGAGGCCCGCAGGACATGGAGGACTGGGCCATGTATGGAGGACAACGATGAGGATTTTGATGCAGATAAGGACGAGGACGAGGATGATGATGAGGATGCCGAGGAGGATGAGGAGGAAGAGAAGGAGGAGGTAGATATCGATGAAGAAGAGGACGAGGATGCGGAGGAGGATGAGGATGAGGAGGATGAGGAGGAAGAGGAATACGGAGAGTTGCGACTCCAGGGGGTAATGCCGCGAGGTTTCGTTACGCCGCCCTCTCCCCTTCCCCTCCTCCTCTTCCCTCCCTGCTCCCCACGCTTCCGCCGTGACGCGAAGAAGTTGGATGAGTGAAAACATTGGATCTGCCATACCACTTGGTACATACTAGGGGACGACTTTTCTATCGTACCTCATTGGCTGCGTCTCATCACGTTCCTCCTTCCTCTCTCTCTCTTTCCCTCCCGTTCCCCTCGTCCCTCCTCCCGTCTCCCTCCTGCATCCCTCCCTCCTGCCTCCCGTCATCCCTTTCTCCTTATCTCCTCCTCCTCCTTCCCTGAAACAATCCCCCATCACCGCTCGCCGCTCCTCCTGCTCTCCGTGCACTATTGTAGTGGCCTCCGGCCAGTGCCGCCGATCTGGGGCGCTCCGGGTGCCTGTGGAAATGAACGACGACGAGGAAGACGAAACCGACGACGAAAACGAATGCGCCGACGACGACGACGACGACGACGACGAGAGCGACGACGACAACGACCACGACGACGACGACGACGGCGATGACGACGACGACGACGACGCGAGCGACGACGACGACGACGATGACGCGAGCGACGACGATGACGACGACGACGACGACGACGACGACGACGACGACGACGACGACGACGACGACGACGACGACGACGACGACGACGACGACGACGACGACGACGACGACGACGACGACGACGACGACGACGACGACGACGACGACGACGGGGGGGGAGCTGGGTTGCAGGGGGGGGGGTCTGCTCTGCAGGGGGGGTCCGCTCGGCAGAGGGAGGGGCTGCAGGGGAGAGGGGGGGTCCGCTCTGCAGGGGGGGGAGGGGGCTGCAGGAGGGGGTCTGCTCTGCAGGGGGGGGGGTGCAGGGGAGGGGGGGGGGTCCGCTCTGCAGGGGGGCGGGGCTGCACGGGGGGGGTCCGCTCTGGGGGGGGGGCTGGGCTGCAGAGGGGGGGGGTCCGCTCTGCAGGGGTCCCCCCCCCGCAGAGCGAAGCTTGAGCGAGCTCAAGCCCACGCTCTCAGAATCTCACACGCCGGATCGGCGGATTTCGAGCAGGAACTGCGAGCGCAGGACCTGCACGAACATTTGATTGCGCGGGCACGTCCCCACTCTTGCAAGAAATTAGTCTATCCCGACGCACTCCAGGAGAGGCCTCCAGGAGGGCCCCTCAGAACAAGTCGAATCCACAGCAGTATCTGTACGGCGCCCGTGGCACAGGCGGCCAATGCGGCGAGGGGTGTTCAACGCCGCGCCATGCAAAATATTGGGAATCAGCTCATGTGGCGACAGCCCTCGGCTTCACAACATCCTGCTCCTCACACTCATTTGGGAGATCCCGCGAAGAACATGGTCCGCACATGCTTCCTCTGCGAAAGGGGGCTATGTCCTAACTCTTTGCTACGTCGGATCACTGCCCTACTGGCACCACCTGAGAGCCTCGCTTCACTATCTGTCTCGCCTCGACCTCTGGGTGTGCTCTCCCCCTTAGCGCTACCTGGCAGTTCATGCACCAGCTTTCATCGAGTCTCTCATTCTCTCCAAACTTGCTTCCTGCTCCTCGCTCACTTAGATGTGCCTCCTCATTCCCACTCGGTCCCATGTCGATTCCAATCCACATTCTCGCTCGCGTTCTCGCGTTCGTCCTTGTTGCGCCTTTTTGTGCTGGTCGGTCTTGTTCGTGTTAGAGTCGTCCTTCCCGTCTTCGTGTTCTTCACGTGTCCTTTCTTCTGGCGTCTTTCCCTTGCTTCCGCTTCCGCTTGCGTCCCACCTACTCCCCGTTGTCATCGTCTTCTTCCTTTATCCTCTTCTACCTCACCTCATTTTTCATCTCCTCCATATCCTCTCCCTCCTCTTCTTCCTCTTCCTCTTCTTCCTTCCTCCTCCCTCCTTTCTCTCCCCCTCGCTGGCAGGAACCTGCAGAACCTGCCAACGAATCGGAGGACACCGACCTCTTCCGCAGAGCGGGGTATGCCAAGTGCAGAGGGTCAGGAAGGGATCAGTACGTGAGAGGATGTGGTCTGAATGATCCTGACGTCTGGATCCGACACGTTGCAGAGCATGGATCGCTTCTGGGAGCTGGCGGCTTCTGACCTCAGCCCAATACTGGCCAGTGAGGACAGGGATGATCTGAATCAGGGGAGGACCAGAAGAGCGAAGGCTGTCCTAGGACGGCCCAAATCAATCGATGAGTCGAGTGGCCCCATGATGGCCATAGATGGCCCAATGAATGACCACAACAACGGGGAGGACTGCCTACTCATAGCCACCACGAACGGCCCTGGTGACTGCCCCGTCAAAGAGCTGAGGACGCAGGTAACGGGGGTCAGCCCTGACAGGGGGTTCAGCCAAGCCCCTCTGGTCTCTTCTGGCTGCCCGGACTTGGGAGCCAGGTGGAGCTGAACTTCTCTCCCCTTCTTCTGCCGACCCGGGTTTTGGAGTCGATCTCGTGAGCAGCCTTGGCTGGTAACGCGGCCCTGACCGACCCGGGATGACCCCAGTCAGCCCGTGCAGGACGAGCGTGCCGCACGTGCGCCAAGATTTCTCCAGCAAAGGGCCGCCGCGCTGCCGTTGGCTGGGCGCTCCGTCCGCGAAGCCGCCCCCGCAAGGAAAGTCTACGACATGATAACAAGCAGGCCGGCCGTCCGCCGCGCCCGCCAGCGCCCAGACCGGGTCAGTCCCCTGCTCCTCCCGCCCCCGCTGCTCCCGTGCCCCTCTCCTCCGTCCTTCGCTCCTGCCGCTCCGGCCGCTGGTGCTCCTCGGAGGCGGGGGATATCTGAGCCGTTTTCAGCAGAGGCCTTCGGCCAGAGGCTATGCACAGCAATTGGTGTGTGTGTGTCCAGAGCAGGGTGTTCTCACTTGAGCAGGGTCCCCAGAAACTTTCTCCGTGCCTTTCACTTAATTCCCCTTCCCTCAACCCTCCTCCCTCGCCTCGTTCTCCTCCCCCCTGCCTTCTTAGAAGGATTCTAGGCACTGACCCTGCCTCTGCCCCGTTCTGCTCACCGCGCCATCCTCCTGCCCATCCTGGAGTGTACCCCGCCTTTCTCCAGGCGGGCAATCATGATACTTGCCGGAATTTCGAAGGGAAACCGTTCACGTGGGTTTTCGCTTGTGCCATTTTTTCTCCTCAGAGCCCGAGTTTGCCATCGTGTGCGTTCAAGCGCTGCAGTCATGAGCCTTCGACTATCCCTCGAACCTAAATGACATTCAGACCAATCTGCTAATCAGGGAGCCAAGATTCCGCCAGGGCTGTAGGTCCGAGATGTTGGATGAGGGTCCCCAGTCGAACGGGAGTTCTCCCGGGTTGCGACACTTCGAACCCATTCTTTTGTGCCTTTACCGCCTTGCCATTGTTGCCTCATCCTCCTCCCTATAGGTTTTAGTGGTATTGTTATTTCATAGTGTAGACCACTTGTAGGCTCCCTGGTGTGCTTACATGCTGCAGGTGGTTCGAGAACGCGATCATGGCTTTTATCATCCTGAACACGGCCCTCATGTGCCTGAAGTGGTTCCCAGAGCCCACGGACCTCCCCGCGCGAGCGGACAGGAAAATGCGGCCTCGAATGGCCAGGGATCAGGATGTGCTGGCGGGGCGGGGGTCGAGGGGATAGCAGGAGGGAGCCAGGGAGGAAGCCCAGGAGAAGCCGAGAAGCCAGGAGGGCACGAGGCCCACTGGGGGGCAGACCAGTGTCGAGGGGGAGGGGATGCTGCAAGGGGGGAGGGAGGAAGAAAAGGTGGAGTTGGTGAGAACGCGCGAGCTTCGTCAACTACAACTCCTCCTCCTCCTCCTCCTCCTCCTCCTCCTCCTCCTCCTCCTCCTCCTCCTCCTCCTCCTCCTCCCTCCACCCCCTTCCCTTCCCCTCCCTCTCCCCCCTCTCCTCCTCCTCCTCCGCCATGTCCCCCCCTCTCCCTCCTCCTCCTCCTCCTCCTCCTCCTCCTCCTCCTCCTCCTCCTCCTCCTCCTCCTCCTCCTCCTCCGTCTCCGCCCGCCAGACTGCCAGGGAGTTCGCGCTCCGGCCTCAGGGGCCGCGGCGTGTCTGCTGCTAATCACAACCTTGCTCCAACCGGGGGGGGGCCATCCTCAACCAGGTCTCGAGCTAAGCGGTGTTTCTGCGATCTTGTGGACCGTTTTTCCCAACCATCCTGTGGTGTTGGGTCCTCGTTTTGAAAGGGCAGTGCCCCGCGTTCCCACCTTCCTCCCGCTGCCCCCTCCCCCCTCCCCCTCCTCCCTCCTCCTCCCTCTCCTCCCTCCTCCTTGCGTTTCACCCACCCATTACAGCGCTTCGTGGCTCCATAGGGAGCTCCAGCAAAGGCCCCAGTGGCAGGGTCCGCATGCAGTTCCACCTCCATTTCGGCTCACCTCTCACACGTTTCGTGGCCCCATAGGGTGCTCCACCCAAGGCCCCAGTGGCAGGGTCCGCATGCAGTTCCACCCCCATGTCGGCGCACCCCTCACACGTTTCGTGGCCCCATAGGGTGCTCCACCCAAGGCCCCAGTGGCAGGGTCCGCATGCAGTTCCACCTCCATTTCGGCGCACTCCTCACACGTTTCGTGGCCCCATAGGGTGCTCCACCCAAGGCCCCAGTGGCAGGGTCCGCATGCAGTTCCATCCCCATTTCGGCGCACCCCTCACACGTTTCGTGGCCCCATAGGGTGCTCCGCGGAAGGCCCCAGTGGCAGGGTCCGCATGCAGTTCCACCTCCATTTCGGCGCACCCCTTCCACATTTCGTGGCCACATAGGATGCTCCGCCCAAGGCCCCAGTGGCAGGGTCCGCATGCAGTTCCACCCCCATTTCGGCGCACCCCTCACACGTTTCATGGCCCTATAGGGTGCTCCGCCCAAGGCCCCAGAGGCAGGGCCCGCATGCAGTTCCACTTCCATTTCGGCACACCCCTCACACGTACCGTGGCTCCATAGGGTGCTCCACCGAAGGCCCCAGTGGCAGGGTCCGCATGCAGTTCCACTCCCATTTCGGCGCACCCTTCACACGTTTCGTGGCCCCATAGGGTGCTCCGTCGAAGGCCCTCGTGACAGGGTCCGCATGCGGTGCCACCCCCATCTCGGCGCACCCCTCACACGATTCGTGGCCCCATAGGGTGCTCCGCCGAAGGCCCCAGTGGCAGGGTCCGCATGCAGTTCCACTCCCATGTCGGCGCACCTTCACACGTTTCGTGGCCCCATGGTGTGTTCCGCCGATGACCCCAGTGGCAGGGCCTGCATGCAGTTCCACCCCCATTTCGGCGCACCCCTCACACGTTTCCTGGCCCCATAGGGTACTCCGCCGAAGGCCCCAGGGCAAGGTCCGCATGCAGTTCCACCCCCATTTCGGCGCACCTCTCACACGTTTCGTGGCCCCATAGGGTGCTCCGCGGAAGGCCCCAGTGGCAGGGTCAGCATGCAGTTCCATCCCCATTTCGGCGCACCCCATATGGTGCTCCGCTGTAGGCTCCAGTGGCAGGGTCCACATGCAGGTCCACCTCCATTTCGGCGCACCCCTCACACGTTTCGTTACCCCATAGGGTGCTCCATTCAAGGCCCCCGTGGCAAGTCCGCATGCAGCTCCCCCTCCATGTCGGCGCACCCCTCACACGTTTCGTGGCCCCATGGAGTGTTCCACTTAGGGTTCCAGTGGCAGGTTCCGCATGCAGTTCCCCCTCCATTTCGGCGCACCCCTTCCACGTTTCGCGGTCACCAAAGGCCCTGGTGGCAGCGCCCGTACTTGGTTCCACCCTGCATTTCGGCGCACACCTCACGCGTTTCGTGGCCTCAGATGGGGCTGCACCGACGGCTCCTGTGGCAGCGTCCGCATAGCGTACCCGTGCCAATTTTGGCACACCCGTCACACGCGTCGTGGTCTCAGAGGGAGGTTCACCGAGGACGATACCCACACCTGCGTTACACACAGCTGCACATGGTTGGGCCCTTCGCCGGGATAATTGTTTTGATGTCGCTTCGCCGCAGAGGCAGAACGAAGGCAGAACGAAGGAGCACGAACACAAAGCGAAAACGAAAACAGCAATGTTTGGCTCGAGCCCTGCCCTCGACATCCGCCTCCGCCTGCGCAAAGCGCAGTCTCCGCCCCTCCCCGCCTCGCCCTTCGGCGGCGCCCCCTTGCGGCGCCCCGCTTCCCGAGCCCGCGGCCTTCCCCGCCGAGTTTCTCGGACTCTTAGATGGGGTTGGGGTAGATGGGGTCGGAGGATCGCGCCGCATCGCTGATGCATCACCGATACATCGCCGATGCATCACCGACGTATCGACAATGTGTATGCGATGCGGCGCGATCCTCCGGTCCCATCTACGCCGACGCAATCTAGGAGGTCTGCTCCACCTGTCTTCTCTGGCCTTGGCAGCGCTCGGACAAGCAATAACCCGTCATGCACCTGGTAGGTGGCCTCTGCAAATCTCTTCGACGCAGACCCGATCAAGTTGTGCGGCTGCTTCACGTACAGCAGCCAGAACTTGGACGAATGTTACCCAGTGTTTAATGCATCACACGGGCTGAAATCTGGTCCGTTTTCGCTTCAAAGCCTTGCGAGACATCTGAGAATCCGGCGGCTGTTCATCAAAGTATTGAGAACCATCGACGCAGATTCGGTGTGCAAATTGTTAACGGATAAAGAGTTGGAGATATGGACAGAGCGCACACTACTAGGACACATTCGTTGGATACGATAAATGATGGAAGTAGGTGTTGTACATCATGTGCAGCGTTGTGACACAGGTGACATGGCTGCAGACGGACATACTAAGGGTGAAAGTTGTTGCTGGAGGTAATGTTGGACAGACAGAAGTTCCGACACGAGGCCGAGAACGTTTGCCCCCGTACGGTGACAACACATCTGGACGTGTGGCATTTTGACAGCCTCGGAAGGCGCGGCGGTGATTCCAACCGACAATTTATCGCAGATGCGGTGTTGATTTGTCGTCAGTGAACGACATGTTCCCATGTGATGAGCATACCCCTCACCCTATCCCACGTGAAGGACAGCAGTGCTTCTCCATTTTGAGCACGCGCTTCACCTTTTAGTGGGCCCCACCTTCCACCTCATCACCTTGCCTCCATATGCATACGCTGGTCTTCTGTTCTCGCACACACGAAGAGAAGGCAAGTTCAACGGTGGATCGTTCCCGTTGCCAGCAACAGAGGGAGCGCAGTCCTGCCATGTCAGCGAGCATGTCCCTCAGCCTGATCAGACCAGGCACGGTTTTGTATTATGCATTTTTGTATGCTTGCTCGTAACAGTCTGGTTTCTTGAGCTGCGCACGCCAGACCAAGAGCCTGCCGCCATTACTTTCATTCGTTGCCACTGTAATCGTGTAGTGCATTTTGCAGACCGATGCGAGTCTTCTCCTGTCTCCTCCCCTCCCGGATTCAAGGCGACCGTGTTGGGGCCTGCATGGCAGTCTATGCTTCCGCTGCCGTCTGGTTCGGATGCCCGTGCGAATGTGCAGACACGCGCGCGCCATATTCGCGGACACGTTGTGTTCGCTATCTGCGGGAAAGCATGCCCAACTTCTAGTATACATTCATGCTTCTCCCTTTACATCTTACATCTCTTACATGATGCATCTCCAACGTGTCGAGGTTCCTGAAGGTCGACCCCACATGTGGGGGTCAATTATGGATAGTTCTTTGCTTCGCAACGCAGCCCCGGGGGCGCTCCAGGCCTCGTCCCTCGGTCCTCGGCCCTTCCTCGCCGGGTTCGAGGACTGTGGAAGCCCGCCGCAGGCGCCAAAGTTTCACAAATTATACAACGAGGCCGCCGCAGGCGCCGATTTTTTTGTTAAACCAATGTGTGTAGGTCGCGGGTGGGTCGCAAATGGGTCGCGGGTGGGTCGCGGGTGGGTCGCGGGTTGGTCGCGGGTGGGTCCCGGGTGCAGAGGGCAGAAAATCCACACCATAATAATCACCCTGGCAAGCGAAGGCCGTTTAGTAAACCCACAAGCAATGAATCGAACAGGGCACAGCTGTTTAGTCAACGCCCAGGGCCGCTAAGCAAACGTCAATTGTCGGGTCTGGGTGGTTTTTCCTCCTTTGAGGGTGGGTCGTTGGTAGGCCGCGGGGTGGGTCGCGGGTGGGTCGCGGATGGGTCGCGGGGTGGGTAGCGGGTGGTTCGCGGGGTGGGTCGCGGGTGGTTCGCGGTTGGGTCGCGGGTTGGTCGCGGGGTGGATCGCGGGTGGGTCGCGGGTCGGGTCGCGGTTGGGTCGCGGGTTGGGTCGCGGGTGGGTCGCGGGGTGGGCCGCGGGTTGGGTCGCGGGGTGGGTCGCGGGGTGGGTCGCGAGGTGGGTCGCGGGTGGGTCGCAGGTGGGACGACGACAACACCAACAACGCAACAATCATATTTCTCACCACGAATTCCTTATTCAGCCACGCACCCAGGGACAATGAATGACCGTTCGGCCCTCCTAACTGTAATATGTATATATATATATATATATATATGTATAGGTATGTGCATAGTTAGTTATACTTATTTACAAATACATGCACGTGTACGTATGCATATTCATTTACATATGAATATGCCCATATGTGTATATACATGCATGCATGCATGTATGCATGTATCAATGTATGCCTGTATGCATGTATGCATGTATGCGTGCATGTATGTACGGATGCGTGTATGCATGCACGCATGCATGCATGCATGCATGCATGTATGTATGTATGTATGTATGTAGGTATGTATATATGCGTGCATGCATGCATGTATGTATGTATGTGTGTATGTATGCATGCATTCATGCATGCATGAATGTATGTATGTGTGTGCGTATATGCATGTGTGCACGCATGTATAGTAGTGTGTATATGTGTGTATGCATGTCTGAATGCATGTGTGTATGTATGACTGTATGACTGTATGTATGCATGTATGTATGTATGGTTGTATGTATGTATGTATGTAGGTATGTATGTATGCATGTACGTGTGGCTGTATGTATGTATGCACACATGCATGTAATCATGTATGCACGTACGTTGTATGTATGTGTATGAACAGACATGTATGTATGTATGTATGTATGTATGTATGTATGCATGTATGCGTATATATATATGTATACGTATGTATGTATGTGTTCATGCATTAACGAAACGATGTAGGTGTGCATGCATGCGTGCGTGTATGTTTGTGTATGTATGTGTATGTATATGTATGTATGCGTGTGCATGTGTGAATGCATGTTCGTGTGCATGCATGCATGTATGTATGTATGCATGCATGTATTTATGGATGGATTGATGTATGGATGTAGGTATGTATGTATGTATTCGTGTATGTATGTGTATCTGTATGTGTATATGTGCATGTGTGTATGCCTGCCTGTCTGTCTGCATGCATGTATGTATGTATACATGCATGTATGTATGTATGTGTCGATGTATGTATACACACATTCCGTTTGGAGGACCTCACGAGTAAGTGTTGGCGATGCGAGTGTGCCAGTTTCTTGGCGCGTACACCCGCGTCGTGAGCATACCTAGGGTGAAGCCACTGGCCGACGACGATTTCGGTCTCGCCTCCGCGCCCCGAGGACAACTGGCAGAGCACCCTCGACGACATTAACTACTTTTTCGCCGCCGTCTTCACGGCTCCCCCCCCGCGTCTCGGCCACGGCCCCACTCAAATGCCACGACTTCGTGTCCACTCGGCTAGGACTAGGCCCAGACGCTTGTCCGCAGTGGCGGTCGTTCGTTTTTTCGTTCCCATGTCGCGCCACGTTGCGGGCCTGTCCGCCGCGCGGGGTGTGGGGCGGGGGGGCGCCCGGTCCGTCTCCTCGTGCCGCGCGCCTGCACGCCTGCGCGCTGTGTGTGGAGGGGGTCGAGGGAGGGCGTCAGCGGTTAGATCGGTCCAGCTGCGTCTCAGCCAGCTGCATCCGGTCGATTATGTTCGGGTAGGCGGTTCGGGCCGTTTTCGATGTTGGTGTCGCCGTGGAAGTCTAATAGAATCGATAATCGAGGTCGGAGGTGTTCGATCGTCTTTCCCCGTTTGGGGTCTCGGGGAGGCTTCTCGTCGCCACAATTGGTTCATTTCGAAGGTCAGGCCAAGACAGGACTCCTGGAGAGGTCTGGGAGCCGATTTTGAAGGGGAAGGGGGAGGGGGAGGGTTGGGGCAGAGGAGCAGGGGGATTGCTGGAGGGGAGGGGGGGTCAGGATAAGGAGGATGCGGGGGAGGGGTGGGGAAGGAGGGTGAGGAGGGGTCGTGATTCTGGTAGCAGCATGCTACTGCTCGTTTGACACATTGGGTTGGTGCTGGTTGCGCAGGAGGGCGACCAAGAACGCGGCGAAAAGCAAGGGATATTGGGCTCCGAGTATTGGCAGAGTATGGGCGATGCCAGCAGCTGCTATATGGATCCCGCGCTTCGGCAAAGCCCCCATCTGCAACTCACCAGCAAGCGTCAGCACTGTGCTGGCAATGGCTCCTCGCAGAAACTCCTGATGGTGTTTGTGGCATCGGCGCCATGCAGGACGGCTCTGGCATTGGGGAGAAGGCAGGGCGAGCCTGTATTCAATCGCTTCGCTCATTGCGTGCTCGCTGGGGCACTTCGGTGGCCTCTTGGGGCCTCTTGGGGGGTGTTCTTGGGCGCTTCTGGGGGGCTGTTGAGGGCCCTGAGGCAGTCTCGGAGGCCACCTCACCTCTTTGGCCACCTCGGGGCCCATCGGGCCTTCTTTGGGCCCTCTTGGACCGTCTTGAGACCCTCTTGGGAGCCGGTTTGGCCATCATGGCGATTTTGGTGGCCTCCTGAGCCGTAAGTCTTGGAAGCCCTAGAAGGCGAGCCCTTCAAAATCCAAAGGACAATCAATGAAGTTTGCCTCTCTGGGCCCTCTTGGGGGTCCTCTTGGGGCGCTCTCGAGGCGTCTTGGATGCCCCCTTAGTTTTCCCAGAAACCATCTTGGACGTCTTGGAGCGCTCTCGGACTGTGTCGGACCCTCTTGGGCTCTCTTACAGGCGCCGTGCAGTCTTTCTGGAGCGGTCTTTGGGGCCGTGAAAGCCGCGCTCAGGTTAGGGAGAATGCTGGGCGAGTGTTTATTATGCAATGGTGACCGCCCCCTCCACAGCGCAGGCTCTGTGGACGTCAATGTAACTATGGCTAGCAAGGATGATGCAACCTTGTTGTCCGATCTGGCGAGGCAGCCACGATGCCGTTGGCCATCGATCCTGGTTTGACGCATCTCCATCGCGAGCCATACGCAAATCATTCTGACATGATGCTCGTCTTCTTGTGCTTCTCCTCCTCATGCTCCTCATTCCCGCCCTCTCCCTTGCTTTCCTCCTCCTTCTCCGTGCCGTCGTCGTCTCGTCTCCCGTCGCCCAGGTTGAGGCCGCCGTCAAGCTCTTTGCGCTGAGGCTCGACTACTTCAGGATCGCCCTCCCCCAGTCATGCCATTCTGCTCGGGGCCCGCCTTCCCCGCCCATTCAGCCTTGACTTCCCCCTCGCCCCTACGTCGGACCCCAGGAAGAGGAGGAGGAGGAGGAGGAACTGGAGGAGGACCTTCCCGACATCGAGTGGCAGACGAGATCGGGGGGGGGGCGTGCATTTCCTTGGTTCCAGGACCCCGTGAAGCAGGTCTTGTTTGCTATGGGCCAACGCCAGGTGCAGTGCAGAGCTCGGGCCTTACAGAGCATTTCGCTGTCTCTATGGCGACGTGCCTTATGAGCTCGCAGGCGACGATCATCACTGAGCACACGAACTTGTTGTTGTCTTTGGGGACGGGCGCTGAAATAATGCGTGACCGATCCCAACCCTTTTTTGAATTCTGGAGGCTGATTTTCTGCAACATCGAAGACGTTGTGCGGCATAACTTCGAGCCAGTTTGGATGCCGTCGCATAAGTCTACAGCTTGGATGAGTAGGACTGGGCCCCCTCCCCATTTGCGTGCGGGGAGTTCTGTGGCCGATAGATACGCCAAGTTAGTAGCCACGAGTGACCCTTCCAATCCCCAGGTTCTTGAGCGTGTTAAGGCCGCTTAAGAATTTGTGATTCAATGTGTGCGCCTCCTGTCAGGTGTGTAGAATCCCTGCAGAATTGGGTTTCCAGGTGTAGAAGGCATGCCGAAGTCCCAGAAGGGGCCTGATAAGCGTGTAGTTGAAGGTGGATTCGTTTGTACTCTAAGAATCGTTAGAAGGGGATAGCGGGCACCTCCTTCAGAAGGAAGGGGAAAGGTGGGGCTGTAGGATTTGTGGTCAAAGCTCGCTTAGAATGAATCGTGTAATCAGCCAGCCGTGCCCGGGAACCTCGAGAATGATTGCCAGAGCCCACCCGACCAATAGGATGTGGGAGTGTGGGTGCACGTTCTTTTCCGCCCGTTGCCGACGGACACGGAAACGACGACGGAGACGACGAGGAGATGACGATAACACACACGACGACGACTACGACGACTACGACGACGACGACTACGACGACGACGACGGCGAACATCGGAAGAACGTCTTCCACGAGGCGCCGCAGTGAAAGGACGCGGGGCACAGGCGGGAGCGTGTATTTGACATCGGGGCGTTGCTGTCAATGCGGGGCGGACGAAATGCGCAACAGAGGCGCCACTATGAAAGGGCTTCGGACCCAGGCGAGGATGTGCATGTGGCAATGGGTTCCCACTATCACCGCGAAGCGGGCGGGCGGCGCAGGTCTCCCAGTTCACAGTGGGGCGCCGATGTCAAGCAGCGTCGGACCTGGTCGGAGATGCGCATAAAACAGGTGGGCCCCGGCGTCAATGCGTTTTGGGTTTTGGGGGTGCGGGTGGTGGTGGCCGGGAGGAGCCCGGCCGAGCGAATTTCAGGATGCGCCCAGGAATTGTTCGTTGGCAGTGAGGGCCTATTTTCAAGTGGACTTGGTCGGTCGAGGCGGAAATGCTCGGACGGGTCTAGGACGAGGGTAAATCCGTTCCAGAGCGTTCAGGGACGCTACCAGAGCGTTTTGGAAGGCTCTCAGAAGGCCGCGGCGCCCGAGACATCCCACAGAGCAGCCGGATCCCCGAGATTCCCGATTTATCATCCCCCGATTTTATCATAATTCTGGCTCCGCTTCAGAATTTGAAGAATTCGCCCTCACTGTTATCGGCCAAATCCGACTCTGGAGTCCGCCCTCTGGCAGCGGGGCCGCCGTCACGTGGCCTTGAGCGGCGGAGGCGGGAACGTGTTTTTGTGATTGTGGGGCCCCACAGTCAACTACTCGTCCAGGGCCACGGAGGGAGGGGGGGTCAACTTGCTGGAATGGGAGCCTTGGGAGGGCGGGGGGGTGGGCGCGAGTTAATGGGGGGCGATACTGGAGGGGGGAAGAGGGGTGCCCTCTTCGGGCCCTGAAGGTCCCCTCTTGGGCCGCAAAGGGCCTCCCCTTAGGGGCCCTGCTTCGGCAGCCCTCGCTGCCCCCACCCATTCATCGCCCCCCCATTACGCGTCCTCCGAGGTGGATCCAAGGGGGGTGATTATCCCACACGCCTGGAGACCAACAAGGGGTCGGCGGATATCGTGAAGCCATCTATGTCCAGAGGGCTTGCGGGATCACACGATACTGTATGAGTATTACTTTCCTCGCTCCCCTAGTACTGTGGTGGGCAAACCCCTCGAGCATACTTTTCCCCACGCACCGTATGGTTTGTTTCTCCATCCTTGGGCTTGCAGTCGGACCGTTTTCGGTCATTCAAAATGGTGTTCCCACGGCAGCGTTGGCCCCATTTCAGGATCGGCGTTTTGCTGCCCTCTTTCAAATTTGCGCTCTTGCCCCAGTGTGGGCCACCTTTCAGGATCTGATTAATTTCTCGTCGTTGCCGTTCCGACACTTTTCCCTCTCGCCTCTGCCTTCCAGTTTTCTTGTTCCTCTTGTTTTTGCCTTCACTTTGTGGGGCAGACACTGTATGCGTCCAAGTCTGCAGTGTTGTGCGACGTGCCCCAGAATCGTGTCAGAGCAAGTCGTACTAATGGCGGGCAGAGTGCTGTCTCCTTCTGACGCCATGCCCCCTGTGGAGCACCAGGCCCGCGGCCACGTTTCGGCCGCCCGCGGGTTGGATCTTCCAACTGCCAGGAAGCGAGGAGGGGAGGAGGCGAGGAGGGGTACAGCTGTTGTCAGCTCTGGTGCAGCACATCGTGTATCTATATGTGAGGCATGTCGGACGATGAGGAGGATCGGTCCGCTGCCAGGGTCGCGTGGAACAATTTCGACTTCTTTTGCGTGATCGCCACCCTTGTCGGCATAGTGATCAGCGCGAGCGGCTCAGGATCCCCCACTCCTGGTCCAAGGTGTCCGCGCTGCCCCCCCCCCCCCGCGTAGCCTCGCATTTCATTTTGACGTACATACAGCAATCTAGAACGGTGGCTAGGATAGCATGGTGCAGCACTACGCCACTATAAGCATCATAACGTATAAGAAACGCCGCAGTGTATACCGTACCATTGCACAGTATAGCATAGCATTATAATGTGTAACATCGTGCGGTGCGGTATTTCGTATTCTGGCATTGCATCGCGTAGCCCTGGTTTAGCTTAACGCTCGAGAGACAGGCAGCGTATATATGCATATCATACCATGGTTGCTATATTCATAACTGCATGCCGCTGCGTCGCCGCATACTATTGTAGTGGCCTCCGGCCAGTGCCGCCGATCCGTGGTGCCACCGATGCTGCTCGCAACAGATGACCGTTGATGTTAAGTACAGCACTCGCTCGAGACATCTTCATAAGACAGAGATGTGGAACTTGCTTGGGCAACCTTCCGATATTCGAAAGTGACCATCTCGTGTGAACAGCCAAACTCATGGGATGTTGACCTAGCTGATGTATGACACCTTCTGGGGGCGCTCCTGGGCTTCTCGGGGGGCTTTTTGGAGGCATCCTGGAGACTTTGGGGCGCGCTGGAGGAAGTTTTTGAATCTCTTGGGGGCCTTTTGGGGGCCTCATTGGGGCTTCTTGGGCCGTCTTGGGCCGTCGTGGAGCCTTCTTCGGGCGTGAATGGCGTCAGCCATGGCGTGAGCTCTCCCCCCTCCCTCTACTCTCCCGAGACTGAACGGCGTCAGCCATGGCGTCAGCCCTTCCCCCCCCGGACAGAGTGAAGCTTGAGCGAGCTCCCCCCCCCTCCCTCCTCCCGGGCCTGCACGGCGTCAGCTCTCCCCCCCCTCCCCGACTCCCCCCTTCCCGGGCCTGAATGGCGTCAGCCATGGCGTCACCCCCTCCTCCCCCCCCCCTCCTGGGACTGAATGGCGTCAGCTATGGCGTCAGCCACCTCGACGCTTGAGCGAGCTCCCCCCCTCCCCCCTCCCGGGTCTGAATGGCGTCAGCCATGGCGTCCTCCCCCCCCCGACTCCCTCTTCCCGGGCTTGAGTCTCCCCCCCCTCCCCCCCCTGGACCTGAATGGCGTCGGCTACGGCGTCAGCCCCCCCACCCCCCCCCGACAGAGCGCAGCTTGAGCGAGCTCCCCGCCCCTTCTCCCCCTTTCCCAGGCATGAATGGCGTGAGCTCCCCCCCCCTCCCATAGTACGGATACTAGGCCCCTGGGAGTAGTAGAGAGTGTACAGATGATTAGAAGTAAGATTGGATGTTCAGAGTGACTGAGAGAGAGCTCCGCAAGATTGGGGCCCAAGCCGACCAGAAACTAACTCTGGTATCGGAGCTGGTTTCGGTCAGCTCCGGGCACCGCCCCTCCGGCGAGCGTGCGGCTGGCTGATCCTCAGCCTCTTCCACATCTGCGAGAACTACGCAGAGGGCGATCCCGCGAACTTCCACGGCATCGAGATTGGAGAGCCCGACGCAGAAAACCACCAGGACGACAGCAGCTATCACATCAATTGCTACCTGGACAGTCTCACTTTTTGCACACCTTTTTACGAGAGTTCTGAACATCCCACATTCCTGGACTACGACAGCAACACGATGGCTGGTAGACCTGCTTGGCACGGGGACGGAAAGCGCACTTACTTTCAGAGCGCACGAGATCGCTGGCTCGTCCGCTCTTACACCTCTTATTGACTCCCTTCCCCGCGCTCTTGTCCTATCTCAGCCTCGGAGAGTCGCGGAGCTTTCTTTGAGCGCGTTTCTCGTTTTGGAGGGGGCGGTCGGGTCGCGTTGCGTTTTCCGCGTTTTGGCTGCCAGCTTTCCAGAACCCCGCGTCTTCCTTACGTGGACCGCTCGTTGTCCACGCGTTGCCGCCCGTCCCTGTGCCCTGGCGTCAAGAACTTATTGCCCCGCAGCTCTCTGTTGGGAGCTTTGGTCTTATCAGCTCGATTACGTCACCGCTCGCTCTTCGGAGCCGCGGTGCTAGGAGAGTATTTTGGGCCTCATGGGGGGCTCTTGGGGAGCCTCTTGGGTGCCGCTTGGGGACCTTTTGGGGCTTCTCGGGGGCCTCTGGGGGCCTCCTGGGAGCTTCTGGGTGGCGGGGGTGAAGGGACTAGGCTGCCTTTCGCCGTCGTTGGGCTCTCTTGGGGGCATCTTGGGGCCTTCTTGGGGCCGTCCTGGGGTCGTCTTGGGCCGTCTTGGCGCCTCTTGGGCCGTCTTGGCGCCCTCTTGGGCCGTTTTTGGGCCCTCTTGGGGGAATCGTGGGCCTTCGTGGGGCGCTCTTAGGGGCTTCTTGGAAAGTCTTGGGCGCCCCTTGGCCCGTCTTGGCGCCCTCTTGGGCTAGCCTCTTGGGAACATCTTGGACCGTCTTGAGGCGGTCTTGGGGGCCTCTTGGACCGTCTTCAGCGCCATGAAAGGCGAAAAGCCATAAATGCTAAACGCGTACGTTTTCCCCCAGCAAATCAATGATTTTGGCCTCGTGGGGCCCTCTTGGGACGCCTCGTGGGCGCCTCCTGGGGCGTCGTGGAGGCCTCTTGGGACGTCTTGGGGCCGCCTTGGGCGGTCTTGGGCTTTCTTGGAGCGCTCTTGGGCCGTTTTGGGCGCTTCTTGGGCCGTCTTGGCCCGTTTTGGGCGCCGTTTTGGCCGCTTCTTGGGCTGTCTTAGCCGCCTAAGACGGCCCAAGAAGCGCCCAAGACGTGTTCTCCGATGATGTCTCGAGCGAAACGCTGTTTTTAAGCCCCGAAGGCAGTCCTACTCGATAAAAACACGAGGCGGGAGGGCAATTATATCCGGGGCCGCGGATGCCAACCCCCTCGAACCCCCCCAAGTCCAATTTCTTCCGACTAACGGACCGCACGCTAACGCGCGCTTTCCGTCATTTGGCGATCACGAGAAAAGGAGGACACGGCCTGGAGGATTTCACAAAGAACGTGCCTCCAGGTTGGAATCCTAACATACGAGGATACTCGTTCCGACGACACATGCAGAAGTTACGATTATGGTGGCGGAATACTGACGAAGAGAGCGAAGAACGCATCGGCATTTGATCGTGAGTCGACTGAAGGCCCACGTTTCACACAGGCTATGGGCTACACGATCACCCGCGGTGAAGTCACCGACCGAGGAGACGAAGCTACGGCTGGACCGGCTATCCCTGCTGATGCAGCTCTAGGTGTGGCAGGAGAGCACAGTGGCATCAGACAGTTCCTGGACAAGTTCCAATCAGTCTACGAGTTGCACGACTAAGACCGCGTGGGTATTGTGCTGGAGGCCCACTCCGACTGCAGGCGTGGCAACACTGATCTCTCCAGATGAGAGCAGTCGGTAAGGCGCACTTCTTGCTCAAGAACTCTGGCCTCAGCGAGAAGCGCGGCACTGTATCAAGCCATTCGTTGATGGCTAATGAGACTTGGCAAGCACGATCAATCACAGCACCATCGCGACTGGGCACTCCACATTGATCAGAATGGCAACAAGTATGACCTCACTGATAATCCTGATGTCTGGTATGAGGCCTACGACGTGAACGGATACGAATGGGGCTGGGCAGATGACGAATCATGGGGTGCCACCCTCGATGGCGAATGGTACTACATGCTAGATGACGATACGTGGTTGCAGTTTGATCAAGATGGTGGGAAGAGCTCACGATGAAAGATTATGCGTTCTACGATGGCGGCAGTAAAGGCAAGAACCAAGGCAAGGGACGCGGCGGCGGCAAAGGTTATAGACGCAACAGCAGGGGCAAGAGCAGAAGAAGAGGCAAACGCAAAGGCAAGACATTCATGCCCAACAGTGGTGGTCGAGGCAGTCAAGGAGGAGCTCAGAATGGTTGCAGTTCCTCTGGTAAATGGCATCGAAATGACCAGTGCCCCACGGAAAGGACAGCAACCTCCTGCAGCAGCAGCGCCTCCTCAACCTTCCAACGCACGCGGTCGCGGCAAGGCCGGTAGCCGACATTATGCCGATCAAGAGCCAGCTGGATCGGGAGCTTCAGTCAATGGTTTCAGTTGTCACAGATCATCGGCAGCTAGTTAGCATCATCTACCAGATTTGGGCGCGAGCTCGCCCGCGCCCACTGGCGGAGGCCTAACTGGTACAGCGACATCGGTGGCCAGCAAGATTCCAGTCCATCATGTCATTCCCGAAGGCGCTGAGATCGAGGGGGCCGCCGTAGACGGCCTCGGCAGTCTCTCGACGAGTACTGCGACGCGCGCGATCGGGAAGCTGATCTACCTGACCGCACTTGGCACAGTGCAGATGGCGAGACCAGCGGCGACTTTCGGTTCGGCAACTAGATTGGGAACGACGAAGGGCAAATGATTGAACAATAACTAATCAACCTCCCCCTGGAAACGCGACCCGAAGATTGAGCAACCGCACTTCAGCTTCAACGCACCTGCACCCTCCATCAGGCCCACTTTCGCATCCTCGGCAGCATCATCTTCAGAGTATCCGACAATGGCAGAGAGGATTGCTCTGCAGCACAGACAATCAGCTACCGCATGACCACCAACGGCCTCGACGATATCAACTACGATTTCTGAAAAAAAAAGTACCCCCCATGGAGGAACCTGCGTTGGCACTGGGTTCACCGGCGAGGAATCTGACATTGGCAGAAGAGCTACGGGCACAGTACTCCATGAATTTGCTCTCATCCAAGTTCGCGCACGCATACGCTGATAATGACCACGCCGTCTATATCGCCATTTAAGGGAAGCCTCGCTTGGGCATCATCGTCGACTCAGGTGCTAGTGGCGGTCTCCTTGGCACTGAAACTGTCCGAGAGTGGGTTCAGTGCATCTACGGACCTCGTGGCATCAATTATCCATGCGGCAGGTCAGAGGCATCATCCACGGGCATCAGCGGTCAGGCAGATCCCTCATGTGGCGAGCTTGTCGGCAAGATCGGCGTCAGTGGCTTGCCGCCGAACGCGACCTATCGTGGCGATCTCATTGGTGGCAATGCATCTCGATGCCCGGCACTCTTGCCCAATGGCGCAATGCTGGCGCAAAGATCCATCATATATGAGAACATGTTCGCGAATGGAGATGGCATGCTGGCGCTGCAACCTCCCGATCAGAGAGCATCTGTCACGCGACTGCACCTCGCGGGCTCCAAGCGCCTGCTCTTGCCGATTGACGATTTCCACGAGCAGACGACCACCAAGCGCACGGACCTCATCAATAGAATCGAGCATCGCACTGCTGATCTGCTAAATAGTTGCCCGACGACTCAGACGCGAAGCTCAGGGATTTCACGACGCGCTGATGCGACGACTACCAGTGCCGGGTCAGAAACCCACGCGTTCATTCATCAGGTGTCTCGCGTCGCCACGCTGAGAAACCCTGGTCTGGCGATGATTCAGCTGCCCCCGTGACGACCCGTCCGAGCGGCCCCTCAGAAGCAGGGCCAGTGCAAGGTTATAGAGATTGAGATGAACACCAAGATCTACCTGAAGTCAGATATTCAATCAGAGAGTTCAGAGACGTTGACACACTCGGCCAGGACAGCGCGCATGAGTTATCATCGCAGCGACGCCAAGGCATTCTACGAGCACTGGAAGCAGTTCAAGGCACCGGGGTATCACAGCGATCTCTGGCCTGACAACTTCACTTCACGGCTAGCGAGCAGAAGCAAACGGATGCCGAGTGTCGGGTTCTACCAGAACAGTTTCACAATAATTCGCGACTGCCCATGATCACGCCTACAATGTAGACGACTTCGTCAAGAACATGGAGACCTTCCAACAGTCGGTGATACCGCTTCTGCTCGAGGTATGCGCTGGGACTGGGAGCGCATCTATTGAGGTCTAGACAATTCAATGCATTTTTGCCACCAATCGATTACACATGCGGATGGGATTTGCATCGAGATGAGCATCGAGCGGCTTCGAAGCGAATTGTTCAAGCCGCTTGTCCATTACATACGCTATGCGAATTCTCCTGCAGACCCTGGCCACAGTCCACGAATCGTTCAGATCCTCGAGAACTGGAACAGGGACGGCAGGCCGACCGACCAATGCTCTACTGGTCCATGTGGGACTCATTTCCAGAGATACTGCAGGGCGATGGCAATTTTAACGTGGAAAGCCCATGGAGCTCTCACATCTGGACAGAATCTCCACGGGAGGACTTGGAAAAGCTGATGCAGGAGTATCAGTGCACAGTGCACGCTACACGACAGCACGACCGATCAGTGCCGCCATGTAGCACGAGTGGAGGAGCAGGACTTTCCCATCAGGAAGCGCACGATGTTCAGAAGCCCAGCGAGGCTACGAGACACCAGCAAATCCTGCAACTGTGGGACCCAGCACGCGAACCTCCAGATGAATGACTCCAATGGCTTCAAGAGAACGGCAACGGCAGCACGTTATCCTAACAGGTTGTGCAAGGGTTTTGACACGCGACATGATACGACATCTACATCGGACTCCAGACCATGTTCACTGGACGTGCCCTGGATGCAAGCATGGGAGCGCAGCTGGACTTCCGCATGCAAGAGTTCACGGGTGCAGATTCAAGGTCCCTGAATCTCCTGCACCAGCAGCGCCCGCAGAACCTCCTGCACCAGCAGCACCTGCAGCACCAGCAGTAGCAGCGGCTCCACATGCAGCACCAGCACCTGTAGCCCCGGGGGCACCTCCGGGACTTGAGGCACCAGCGGCAGCGGCGGCCGCGCCTGGCGGCGACTACGCCAACGGGGATGCAGACATGCCTCGTCCGCCTAGGCCACTGGACCCGTCAGTGATACTACTAGCTCGGCAGCGTCTCAGTGGCAAGCAGCAGCCCGTCGACCACAAGTCTAAGGGTCCGAAGGCATTGCAACTTAACTTCTATCTCACCAAGTTTGCGCAGCGAATGCGCGTGGCACCAGACGACGCGCAGCCCATGAAACTCTCGGTGGGATTGCATCATAAGTTTTTTTGTTTTTTTCACGCAGTTGACGCTGAACGCGAGCGACATAGCACAGCACTCGGTATATTTTCTATCACATTGAAGATTTGCCGAGGTATCATGCAGCACTGCCTGGTGTGCCGGAAAAGGATGATATTCATGAACCGCCCGCTTTTTAAGGGCGCGCTGGCGACGCATTTCAACCAGCGCGCGCAGAGCGACCTGTTCCTCCTGTTCGAGAAAGCATGGCTTCTATGCACCGATGAATGCTTGCGTTTTCGGCTGGCCTGACGTTTCAACAACATCCTCAAGGGCTACGTGCAGCTATGGACCCGAATCTTTGGTCCGAGGGAGACATTGGTGATCGATCAAGAAGGAGGACTTACTGGCGTCATGGCTTCTCTGTCCTTTGATCGCTACACCGTGACTGTCGAGATTGGCGGCGCAGCAGCGCACGCGCATGCGGGCTTGGCTGAGCGTGCCATCTCCTTGGAGAAGGCATTGGCTCTCAACGTCGAGGCCGACTGCGCGAAACCGGGCATCAATTAGTTGAGTGGCGATGACATCGTGGCCGAGGTTATGGTAGGCAGACTGACCCTGGAGTGCGGCGGCTCGGCCCCGGCTCAGGGCTTGTTCGGATAGATGCCCAGGGGCGCCTGCGATTCTGAATCCAAGGCGCTCACCGGCGCCGACGGCATCCTGGAGCAAGTGCCGGACTACACGGAAGCACATCTACGGCTACGACTCATTGCGAAGGCAAACGTGCTGCAGGCAGTTGTTGAGGAGCGACTGGCCCGAGCTACCAACGCGAGGCAGCAGACGCACGACGCGAAGTGGCTCGAACACTTGAAACCTCACGACCACGTCGACATCTGGAGAGCCCCAGAGCGCACGGGCGCCGACAGATGGAGAGGACCATCGGATATTAGATCACGGACCAAAGAGCTCGGCACGGCCATATCGCAAGCATGACATCGTCGACCACGCCAATTGCGCCATCAAGTTCTGGGATGTCACGCGCAGTCGAACGACAACACTGAGACGCCGGGCGCTCTGGCTCAGCTTTTGGAAGCTGTGGGGAACTGCACGCCAGGAGTACTGCATTGCATGGGTGAAGTTCCAGATCGCACAGGCAAGATGACCTTGGAACCACGAGACTTACGCGACGATCCGCCCAAGCCCTGGTTATTCATACTGAGCTTGGCGATGTCTTTCTTCGGCCTTTCTAGTGTCAGCGGCCACTGCGATATGGTCTGCTTATAGCTTGGTACCCGGAGCGACGTCAACGCTACATTAGCTGAGAGCTGAACCTTCACGACGCCAACAATATTCAGAGGATCATAGGCGCGACTTGGTACAACCATCATTTCCTCATCTTGGCCTTGAAGGATTCTCTATTTCCTCGCGATGAATATCGACCGATTGATGATCTGGACATCTCCATCATAGTTTTTATCGAGGACTTTCCAGGTGATTCACCACGGCATTCTGTTCAGCGACCTGTTGACAATTTGACGACGCCAGCTCCGACGCCCCCAGCAACCGCAGACTCACCTTCTTTCAACGCGGCCATTGAGGACACAGATGATAATTCTTCTACGGGAATTGGACGACTGATCAAGACACCGGAACGGACATCGACACCACGACCTGCGCTGAGAGATGCTAGTTCAGAAGTGACACCACGGACCCCGCATTACCGACAAGCGAGGGTCATCGAGACCCCGCTCATCGATCTGGACACGAGGCACGATGTACCTGCACTTCCTCAACGAGCACCAGACGAAAGACCTATCATGACGGACTTGACACGAGTACCAGCACTATCGCAAGCACTTCCAAGCAGCGGTCCATCTCGAGACGCGCCCGCAGCATCATCCTCAGCGGTCAGACCTCCGATGCAACATCTTCCGGCACCTGCCGCGCCTGCGCAACTCTTTCCCCCGCCGTTGGTCTTCGAGCAGAGCTCGCCTGATCTGGAAATGCCCTCGCGGGGCAGTCAGCCTGATCTGAGCGTGCGCCTCGCGGGACAGTCGGCCTGATCTGAGCATGCCCTCGCGGGGCAGTCATCTTGATCTGAGCATGCCTCCACAAAACTGTCAACATGATCGGAGCATGCCCTCTCGAGACAGTCATCAGCATCATGATCAGAGCATGCAACAAGCTACAGTATCAGACATCGACCTCACCATGGGAATAGAAGAGATCCTCGAGGAAACCGAACGGCAGCAGCAGCAGACCAACATGACGGATCAGACGACAGGAGAGGAAGCGGAGGATCTAGCCCCTGCTGATGGACCCCCCCATGTTTGTCCAGGAAATGGAGAGGATCATTGAGGGGGATGATCGCGGGCGACAGCAGGCGGGCAAGCGCAATCTCGACACTTATGGTAGCTTGGAACGAATGCAGAAAATGACCAAGCACAATGAGACAGATGAAGAACCAATACCCCTACATAATCACGACGACGATCAGCATCAACTTGGGGAGTCAGTGGTTCAAGCAGAAGAAGAATTGCACGTCGGATCAAGCCTTTCGTGGATTGCTAATGGGACTTGGCAAGCAAGATCAATCGCAGCACCATCGTGACTGTGCTCTCTACACAGATCAGAATGGGAACGCGTATGACCTCATTGAGTATCATGATGTC